GAGAGCATTCGGTCAGCCTGTGAAGGGCCCTTCCCCCTCCCAACAGGGGCAGAGCTGAAAGTTTTCCCAGGTGGGATGGCAGTGTGAGAGCGTGCAGCCTTTACCCTTCAGGAAGTTTCCATTGTACTGTGATTTTTTTTTTTAATGCAGCCTGCCCCTTTTATTACAGAACATCCTGAAGTTTCAGGTTCAGCATGTTCATACTTGAAAGCAGGACTGCTATCCTCACATCAGCACACTGAGAACAGACCCCAGCCATTCCTGCCTGATTCCCACTGGGTGCAACTCAGCCCGGAACCTGTCAGGAGGAGTGACCAGGTGCCAGATGCTGAAAATGCACTGTTGATCTGATAAGTTCTCGCCAGCGGGGCCTGGCAGAGGAGACAGATATCTGATAATTCTTCCTAGGGAGTGTGGAGGGCTGGGTGATGTAATGGAGCTATGAATAAAGTGCTATTCAGGGCACTAGGGAGAGAAACATTAATTTCGTTAGGGAGAGTAAAGGAAGATCCTTTAAAGAGACATTTGATCTGCCCTTTGGACTGAGTCACCAGGCAAATAGCTTTTCTTTTCCAGTACCGGAGATCAAACCCAGAGCCTTGAACATTCTAGGTGAGCACTGTACCACTGAGCTGTTCCTACTGGTAGTATCAATATTCTTGATTTGTTTTAAATATTAAAGATTCTTTCCAGGTTTGGTGGATAGATGTGCTGAGACAGATTTCAGGTGATTGGGTCCTTTTTTTTTTTTTTTTTTTTTTTGGAGCTGAGGATCGAACCCAGGGCCTTGTGCTTGCTAGGCAAGCGCTCTACCACTGAGCTAAATCCCCAACCCCGATTGGGTCCTTTAAAAACACTGGCCACCCCCAGCTGGGGAAGCTGGGATATGGTGGTGATCCAGTAGCAACTGACATTACAAAGGAAATTCTCTAGGTTTATAAACAGACTTTAGAGGGTAGGGGGTCTCTGAGCTTAAAGTGGATGGATTTCTGCGATCAGCAGGTCAGTGGAGACCACTAGAAAGGATATAGGAAGCTGATCCGACTGTCCCCACCTACCTTGGGGCCGTTACATGTTAGGAACGTCAAAGCCTAGGAAAGGTATAGATGGACGTAATGTATGACTGATCTCCTCTACAGTAACTGACCTGAAGCTTACGCTGTAACCCAAGCTGGCCTTGAACTCACAGAGATGTTCCTACCTCAGCCTCCCAAGCGCTGGGATTACAGGTGTAACCCACCATACTCTGCTTGTTTTAATTTTTTTTTAAATATGGGATTTTTTGTTTGTCTGAGATAGGTTTTTCTATACAGTCTTAGCTGTCCTGGAACTCATTATGCACTCCAGGCTGGCCTTGAACTCAAAGAGATCTGCCTGCCTCAGATACTTCACTCCTACCCCTGAAGGTGGGATTAAAGACATGCACCACTACTCCAGGCTTATTTTGATTTTTGAGACATGATCTCACTCTCTAGACCAGGCCAACCTTGAAAGTGCAGCCACCCTAATGCCTCAGCCTTCTAGGTTGCTAGGATAGAAGGTGGGTGTCATGTCTCAGATTCTTGACGTTAAAGAATGAGTAAGGGAAGCTGGGTGTGGTGGTGTACACCTTTAATCCAGCACCCAGGAGGCAGAGGCAGGCAGATATCTAAATTCAAGGCCAGCCTGATCTACAGAGCGAGTTCCAGGACAGTCAGGGCTACATAGAGAACCCTGTCTTGAAAAATCAAAACAAACCAAAAATAAAACAGTTATGACTGCGTTGGCAGAGTGTTTGCCCAGCATACACTAAGCCCTAGGTTCGCCAGTGCCATATAAACCTGGGCATGATGGCATTATCTGTCGAAATTGGGAGGTAGAGGCAGGAGGATCAGGAGTTCAAGGACAGTCTGGGCTACATGAGGTACTGTCGAAGGAAGGAGGGAGGGAGGGAGGGAGGGAAGGAAGAGGACAGCACTGTCACGGAATTTATACTTTAGAGCTAGATGGGACAGAAAACAAACCAAATAAGAGAACGAGATGACTTCAGGGAATCTCTTGGTATAAAGCAAAGAAGTTGGGTATGGCAGTGCTTGAGGGTCAGGAGACGAGTGAGACTGAGTGGTCATGGAGAGCCCTCTTGAGGAAGCATTTGACCTGAGATCCAAATGTTAAGGAGGCAAAGTGTTCTGGGAAGAGGAACAAATATACTGATTTAACAGACTACAGTTTGAATATATCTCAGAAAAAGAATCGCGACCTCTAGTGAACAGCTAAAGACTTTTTCGCGGTGGTGGCTCAAGCCTTTAATCCTAGCACTCAGGAGGCAGAGGCAGGCGGATCTCTGTGAGTTCAAGGCCAGGCTGGTCTACAAAGTGAGTTCCAGGAAAGTCGCAAAGCTACACAGAGAAACCCTGTCTCGAAAAACCAAAAAAAGAAAAAAGAATCGTGACCTCTAGTGAACAGCTAAAGACTTTTTCTTTTCACTCATTCTCTAAACAATAGTCCGGCAACCATTTACATATGGTAGGATGTGAACTAGACATATTTAAAGTACATGAGAGGATGTGCCCAGGGATGTGAGCATCTGCATCTACAGGGCTTGGAATCAACACGAGGGGCGCTGGAGCCAATCTCCAGTGGGTTTCAAGGAACGACTTCCTAAATGTCGTACAACAAGACCAGGCCTGGGGTACTGGAGAATGGGAAGGCGGCCAGCCTGACTTGATCAGTGTGAGGAGAGGACAGATCCTGGAGAGCCAGAGGGTTTGGCAAGCCTGGTGAGTGGGCCCTAGACTACCAGAAGGACTTTGTTTTGAAGAAGTACCATCTGGCTAAATAGAGAATGAATTAGAAGCAGGGAGAGGTACTGGAGGGCTGTAACTTCCTCAAAGCAAGAGGCTCAGATCATGGTGGCCTCAATAAAGACAGACATGCTGAGAACAAACGTATTTTTTTTTTTTTTAGTTTTTTTTCGAGCCAGGGTTTCTCTGTGTGGCCCTGGGATTATTTCAAATGCTAGGCAAGGTCAAAAAGGGCCAGCTGTGGTGCTCATGGCCTGTAATCCTAGCACTCAGGAGGCAGAAGCAGGAGGATCATCCACAGTTCAAGGTCATCCTCAGCTATATAGAGAGTTTTGGCTTACAAGAGACCCTGTATCAAAAAAGCAAATCCAAACAAAACCCAAATGGGGGCTGGTGGGGAGGGGACAGATGAGAACAAAGCATAATGACACATTTGTATAAAAATACCATGGGGTTGGGGATTCAGCTCAGTGGTAGAGCGCTTGCCTAGCAAGCTCAAGGCCCTGGGTTTGGTCCTCAGCTCCAGAAAAAAAAAAAAAAAAAAACATAATGTAGCTGGGCTGCAGTGGAGCAAGCCTTTAATCCCAGCACTCAGGAGGCAGAGGCATGAAGATCTCTGTGAGTTCCAGACCAGCCTGGTCTACAGAGTGAGTTCCAGGACAGCCAGAGCTGTTACACAAAGAAACCCTGTCTCGAAAAACAAAAACAAAAACAAACCAACCAACCAAAAAGCCCCACAATGTAACCCACTGCTTTATATGCTAATTTTCGAGTTAATAAAAATAAAAAAGAGGGGTTGGGATGTGACTTACTTTGTAGAATTCTTGCCTATAGTACACCAAATCCTGGATTTGATGCCCAGCACTACATAAAACAAGGTATGGTGGGTAAATGCTTAGAATCCCAGCACTTCAAAGTAGGGGGAATCTTTGGCTACATAGGGAGTTCAAAGCCAGTCTGAGTTACAGATGGTCTCAACACATGCGTTGAGAGCATACACACACACACACACACACACACACACACACACACACACACACACAGAAAGAGAGACACACAGAGAGACAGAGATACACAGACAGACACACAGAAAGAACTTGGTAGTACACACCTATAGTCCCAGCATTTAGGAGGTTAAGGCAGAAGGATTGCTGTGACTGTGAGGCCAGCCTGGGCTATAGATTTTGCCTTTGTCTTAAACAATAAAACAAAAGGAGAGCAGATAAAAGTAGTCTTGAGGCTGGAACTATTGCTCTGAAGGTAAAAGGGCTTGTGCAAACCTAAGTATTAGGTTTTCTGCCCCCATAATAGGTTTCTCCACCAATGCAGTAAGCCAGATCAAGCTGAATTGAAAAAGTATAAACAACAGGTTTATGTGAGCAAAGCAACTCCCTGATGGGTTCTCCAGTCCCAGAGATGGAGGCGGGAGAAGCCACACGCCCGAACTAAAGCAGGGAGATTATATAGGTTGTAGATGAGGGGTGATGATGTGTCTGCCACAAGCTGGGTTTGTGCCCAAATATGGTCAAAAGTTGAATGATGTGTCTGCTACAAGCTGGATTTGTGCCCAAATACGGTCAAAAGTTGAATGCTTTAGGAGGGGACTTTGGAGGTTAGTAACTGCAGAGGAGTCTGTAGTAGCCACCAAGAGTGTGGAACTGGGCTTTTTGGTGCCTTCCCTTTGGAGACTCTGAGGGGGTAGGGTTTGGAGAGAGAGAGAGAGGAGTGGGGGGAGGAGAAGGTAGAGAGGACTGGGGCTTCCCTGATCATGTAGGGGTAAGCTGGAGGTTCCAACTGAAGACTAAGGACCTGAGTTTGACCCCTGGAGTTTAGGGGCACCTTAGCCGGAAGTTCTCAGGACAGGTAGCCTGAAATATGCAGTGAAAAGAAATAACAAGAGTGGCCCTACTCAGCAAGGTGGCAGTTGGTCGGTGAGGCTTCTCCATAGCTGTCAAGTTTACAGTGCACCTCTCTAACCTGTCATCTCCCTTTGCTCTGAATGAAGTTATCTTGAAGGGCTAAAAGGGTGGCTGAATGACTAAGAGTACTTGCTGTTCTTCCAGAGGATCAGGGTTCCACTCCCTGCATCCACATTAGGTGGCTCACAAACTGCCTGTAGCTCCAACTACAGGGAATGGAACACAATCTTTTGACCTCCATAAGTACCACATGCACGTGGTACATATGCACACAGATACACACATTAAAAAAATAGTTTATAGACGCTTCATCATCAACCATGTGGACAAATGATTTGTCTGCAGAAGTCATCAATTTTACACAATCATGGAGGTCTCTGTCTGACTTGGACAGCTGGCTAAGACCGATCATTCCCCTCCTACGCAAATTTTGAATTGCCACTCTATTATATTATTTTCCTTATTATTTTGTTCAGTATCTCTGCAAATTAAGTGTACTGGATTATAGACAGCAGACAAAACAACAAAAAATAAAGAAGAAAGAAAACCAAATAAAGTTAGTTCTCCAACTCCCTCCCCATTTCTCTTTCTACCTTTGTAAAACAAACACCAAAAACAAAGTGGAAGCAGAGAACTGACCCCACAAGTTGTTCTTTCCTGACTTCCACATGTACACAAAGACACATGCACAGCAAAATAAATATGCTTTAAAAATCGACCTTGAAAAATGAAAAGAGAAGCCAGTCACAGTGGCGCATGCCTTTAATTAATCCCAGCACTCTGGAGGCAGAGGCAGGCGGATCTCTGTGAGTTCAAGGCTAGTCTGATCTACATACTGAGTTCTGGGACAGCTGGGCTACATAATAGAGACTCTGTCTCCAAAAGCAAAATAAACCAACTAATATAAATAAATGTAAAAAGAGAAAACAAAAACAAGAAGCCAAAAGTAACTTTGTTCACAGCAATAGTAGCACTTACGTGGTCAAAGTTGGGAACACGGGATTGATAATCTAAACTAATGGAAAAGAATGATTGTGAAGGCTTTGGGAATGAATCGACTCGGCTTGGCATCACAGAGGAGTAAAACTTCCTGAGACAGCCGGGCTGATAATGCGCCTGTGAGACCAGGAACTGTTATTGCCACAGTTCTTCTTTTTTTTAAACTGGGTCTTTTGACTCTGAGTACATTTGTCGCTGTCTTTCTACACACTACTTCATTTCTGGTGTTGTCCTCGGGATAAATATCTGTCTATCCATTGGCCAGCGCTTATTTCCTCTCAATAGTCTCTCAGAATAAGACCTAGTCAAGCAGGAAATGGTGCTCAAGATGGGCACTGACTAAATGTGTGCTGAGGGCCAGTGAAGGTGTTTGGGTTTAGAGAGAAAGAGAGAGAGCAGGTTCTAGCACTTAAGTCCCCCGTCCTCCCCGCCTCCCCCACCTACACACACACACACACACACACACACACACACACACACACATTTCTTTGTCTCAGTTCTCCTTTCTTCCCTGTCAACTCACAGAGCTTGGCTCCTTTGCCTGGGTGGATGCATGATCTGGCTTAATCTTTTTTTTTTTTTTTTTTTGCTGGCTGGCTGATTCTATTGTTTTCCAGCCCCGTGGTTCTGTTGCCTCTTCCAATCGCCTGCAATCACACGGCAGGCCTGCAGGGGTCCTCAGCAGAGCACCCCACACCAGGCAAGCTTCTTTAGCTAATGTTATCATTTATTTAAACAGAAAACAGTAGCCTCCAATCTTGTTACATAACATACCAGTCTCCTAGGGTGCACAGAATCTACTGATAGGGAGCAGGGAACCTGTAGATACAAATATACTCACTAACACAATGTTGCAGAAATGTAACAAGTTTGATTTTTCTGGCTTATTTGAAACTTTAGAGATGGAAGGGACTTCATTCAGGAACCATCTTAGTTCAGTCCTCCTTCTTTGTGTTTCCAGTAATAGGAATTGAATCCAGAGCCCCAAGCACACTAGGCAAAGTCTCTACTGGGAGCTCCATCTCCAGTCCCTAGCCCTTCCTTATTTTAGGCTGTGGGAACTAAGGCCCAAGACCACAAAGGAACTTACCCAGGAGGCAGCCCTGGGCTGGTAATCAAATCTAAAGAATTTAATATATATTCTCTTGTTTTGTTTTGTTTTTGTTTTTCGAGACAGGGTTTCTGTATAGCTTTGGAGCCTGTCCTAGAATTCGCTCTGTAGCCCAGGCTGGTCTCGAACTCAAAGTGTCTCTGCCTCTGTCTCTGCCTCCCAAGTGCTGGGATTGAAGGCGTGCGCCACGACTGCCTGGCCAACGTATATTCTTAAAGATTAAACCTTAAACCTTTCAAGTTTGTGATTAATTAGCTGAAGGCTTTTTTTGCCCTCAGGATTTAGACTCTCAAAGTAGTCAATTGTAAACCATGACAGTGCCCTTCCACTGAAACTGATACCTACTATAGACTATGAGGTGGTTTTTACTAATTGAATTCATACCTAACCATGTGATGTACATTAACTGAAGACAACTTGGTTGATTGCATGTACATTAAAAACAGCTGGGTGGAGTTATAGGTGACGTTTTGAGTCACCTGGGGATCTACCCAAACACCACACTGGGTTTATGTGTAAATTACTGAGTAGGAGGCAGAAGTTACCTGGACCTCCTGCAGCACATCCAGAAACTTTTTTTTTTTGTTTTTTTGTTTTTTGGTTTTTCGAGATAGGGTTTTTCTGTGTAGCTTTGTGCCTTTCCTGGAACTCACTTGGTAGCCCAGGCTGGCCTTGAACTCATAGAGATCCACCTGCCTCTGCCTCCCGAGTGCTGGGATTAAAGGCGTGGGCCACCATCACCACCACCACCACCACCACCCGGCTTCTTTTCTTTTCTTTACATAACCGAGGCTGGCTTGGAACTGGCTATGCAGTTGAGGATGACCTTGAACTTCTGATCTTTCTTCTGGTTCCACTTCCCAAGCCCTTGGGTTATAAGGCATGAACCACCCTGCCCAACTACCATGCGTTTTCTTTGTATTTTCTCCTTTCTAAACTGTCCATGAAAACATGTTTTTGCCCCCACGCCATGCAGAAGCCCAGTGGTTCAGTGAAAAGGCTGGACTTGCTCTGTCCTCTGGCAGGAATTCTTTATCAAATTGACCTGCTTTCCTTCTGGAAGACTCTGCCCCACTCCACCCACCAGGTACCTCCCTGGATTTCCCGACTGTCATGAGTTTATTTTTTAACCTTCTCTTCCTTGAAAAGCACCACCCCACTGACCCAGAATGCCGGCTCCTCCTCTTCGGTCATGTTGACCATTCCTAGTCTACTTTCTGGACCTAAGCGACCTCATTAACTTCTGAAGACCCTGGAAAACCATCAACAACAGGGCACCCTAATTCCTCTTAAAGTCCTTCATGCATGCTCTCCAAACCCACCCCCACTGCTGGGGACTGAACCCAGGGCCTCTCACACACCAGGCAACCCTTTTCTAGTTTCAACTGGTCGAAATTACTATCAGGCGAGAGAGAAGAGAGAATTGTCTCTGCTTCTGAGCAGGGCCTGGGTGGGCCTGGTGAGACCGGTACTTTCTTTTTAAATCCACCTGCCTTGAAGTCTGGGGGCCACTTCTGGTAACTTAGGCTCTGGGGTCAGGAATCACAAGCGAAGGGAGGAATTACTCTCTAGATTCTCCAAGCAGAAGCACGATAAATCCCACTTCCCAACATAGCCCCGGGTCCTGGGAATCCCAGTAAACCCAAACAAACAGCCTCCTATCTCAGAGAGCTCACCCATCCCAATCATCTCTCCTCCCAGCCCCGCCCGCTAGCTGCCCGGACTGGCGGGACCCGGACCTCGCCACACTCCTCGCACGCGCGCCCCGCCAGGGCGGAGGGGCGGGTGGGGGTGGGGGGCGGGCGGCAGGGGAAGCAGGGGCGGAGTTCCGTCCTCCGTTGATTGGCTCCTCGCTGATGGGCTGCGGCCGTGCCGGACCAACCAGTGGCGTGTTGCTATGTGCTGAGCCGATGGGATAGGCGCGGGGGCGCGTCTATCACCCGGCAAGCCCCCGGCCCGGACTCCGGAGGGATGCGGAGCGGCAGTGGCGGCGGCGGTAGCGGAGACTGTGGCTTTAAGAGCGCGCAGGGAGCGCTGGAGTCAGCCGTGCAGTCCTTCGTCGCCAGGCACTCCGGAGCAGCCGAGCCTGGCACTGGCGGGACCGGGCAGCCTGCCGCCAGGTAAGGGGATCGCTGGCCGGTCGCGCGTGGGCGTGGGGCGCTGTCCGCGCGGGTTCGGACTGTGTGCCCTGGAGGCGGTCGGGCTCCCGTACAGCCCGCAGTCCAGCTCGGCTGGGGCGATGCTGGCGAGGTCCCGCGGGGGCTCCCCGAGGGTTCCCGGGGCGCCAGGGGCGGGGAGCAGGCTGCCGCGGCCACGTGACCGGTTTGTTTACAAACACTGGCGCGCGCTCCGAGTTCGGGGCTCGGGGACGACGGCGAGCGGATGGGCGATGGTGGGGACCCGCAGATGTGGGCGCTGCCGCTTCCCTTGTTTGGCGTGGTGCCCCCGCGGATGGCACACGGTGACACCGGGCTGTGTGGTCTGTGTCTCCACCGAGACACTTGGGTCTGGGGCACACCGCCCTCAAAAGGCCCCAGAGTGCTTCGCCAGCCCCAGGCCGAGGGAACCGCAGCGAGTTCCTGCCTGGACGCTTCCCGGCGCCTCCCCAGCGGCCTTGCCAAGGGGTGGGCGCGAACTCTGCTGCCAGACCCGCTGCGGGGGCCTCTGCGGAGGGTCCCTCCCCGGAGCTGGCTCCAGTCTCTCCTTGCTTCAAGTTTCACCTACCTGGTTGCTGACTCCCTTCGGGTGATTTTCCTGAAACAGTGGGAGCATTACTGGCGTCTCAGGGCTGGCACTTAGGAGGGGGAGCACGCCTGTTCCTTTGGACCCCTTGTGCAAAGAACTGCCTGCCACCTCTGACTTCACTTTACCCATCGCTTTTTAAAAAGCTGAGTGGACATCCTCCGGTTTACCCAGCCTTCCGCAGCCCGACCTCTGGAAGTGGCAAATGGGTCTGCCCAGGAGCTCTGCCGGGGGTTTTTGTTTTTGGCCTCCTGGTTGATTTATTTGTTGTTGCCACGTTGGAGTGTCTTTGAGCTACTGACTTGGAGAGTCTAGGGCTAACAAGGGCCCTCGCTACCAGTCTTTTGTCCTCTTCGTTGTAGCAAGGTGGGCTGTGTCCAGAGCACTGGGCAAGACTAGGGATGATTACTTTTCTGTACCTCATTTACAGAAACATTAGAGGCACAAGGGAATTCCAGCAAATCTCATACTTGTAGCTTTGCGATAGTCTGGTTTGGGGGTTCACAGAATCTGATCAGTAAGATGGGGCTCACACTTCTCCACCTCTCTTTTGCCGCACACTGCCATCGGCTTTACCTGAATTCAGCCTACCAGTCTTCCGCTTTCTTAGCATTGAATGCAGATAGTCTTACTTTCGAGGAAGTTTCATTCTTTATAATTTTTTAAATCCTGTAGCTTACAAAATATTGGCTTTATTATGACTTTTTCATGCATATGTATCATTGTGCCCGGTTCGTACTCGACTATGACTGTCCGCCCCATTTTTGTCCTGAGCTGTGATATGAGTGCTGTGAGTTCTTTACACTGATACCAAGGCCAGCCTGAGGAGAGCTGGGTAAACTTCCCTTTGGCACTGTGATTTGCTCCCTATTTCATGACAGGGTCAAATTGGGTGGAGTGGGGTGCCTGGGCTCATGCCTTGCCTCAGTTGGACTCTGCCTTAGCAGTTTAGAATCCAGTAACACCTTTTCTTGGATATCTCTCCTTGAATTGAGGTAGGGGTGGAAAATGAGAAATAACATACATAAGAATACAGTTTTCCTAGCTCGGAGTAGTGGTATATGACCAACCAGGCAGGGGGATCACTCTACGTTTGAGGCCAGCCTGGTCAGTATAAAGGCATTCCAGGTGGAGATTGGAGAGATGGCTCAATGGTTAAGAGCACGGGCTGCTCTTCCAGAGGACCTGGGTTCAATTCTCCCAGCACCCACATGGCAGCTCACAACAGCTGTATATAACTCTAGTTCCAGGGGATCCAACCTCCTCACACAGATGTACATGCAGGCAAAACACCAATGCACATAAAGATTAAAATAAATAAACCATACACACACACACACACACACACACACACACACACAGCTACTTGTGTGGACTTAATCGGTAGAGCATGGGACTCTTAATCTCAGGGTCGTGGGTTCGAGCCCCACATTGGGCGCCAGTAAAGAAATTAAAAAAAAAGATTCCAGGCTAGACAAGGATATGTAGGGAGATACTTTTTTTTTTTTTTTTTTTGGTTTTTTGAAACAGGGTTTCTCTGTGTGTAGCCCTAGCTGTCCTGGAACCCGATCTGTAGACCATGCTGGCCTTGAACTCACAGAGAATGTGAGACACTTGTTTAAGAAAATAAACAAAAACCTTTCAGTTTTTTAGAACCATGATTTTCAAGCTTTTGTGGGATCCACAGTAAGGGATATATTATAGCAATGTGCACTGGCCTGCCTGCCACTGAAAGAAGTTCTGGGAAGTAATAACTATTACCCGCAATACCTGCAGTGTTCTGTTTTTTTTTTTTCCTGCTTCATTAGAAAAAAAAATCAGCTGGTGGTCATGACTCATTAATTTGATTTCTTAACCAAATGGTCATGACCTTCAGTTTGAGAAACATTGGTTTAGGGCGGAGGTCCTCAAGCCTGACTGCATGATGGCCAGAGCAATGTTTAGAAATACAGTGGTTAAAAGAAATAGATATGTGTTTTACGTACACATTAAACATATATATGCATATGTACAGTGTGTTAATTACTCCAGAGATAGTTACTTTCACTCTGTCTCATTCTGAGACAGGGTCTCGTACGACAGCCCAGGCTGGCCTGGAACACACCGTGTAGCTCCAGGCTGGCTTTGAACTTTTCTACAATACTCCAGCCTCAGCCTCCATAGTGTAGAGATTGCAGGCATTAGGCACCACACACCTGTTTAGAGTTGCTAGTTGGGGCTGCAACTTTTGTAGTCGGTGACCCCTTAGATGATGGCGCAGGTAGCTGGTTAGAAACACGGGTCTACTGGGAGTTGATGGCAGTGAACAGGGAGAACAGATGTCAAGTGTCAAGGCAGGTAGCTGTCCCACACTCGGGTGCAAGCTTTCAGATCACTCAGCTGCTAGCCAGTCACCCTTTGGGGCCTGGCATGGTGGTGGACACCTTTGGTCCCACCCCTCAGGAGGCAGAGGCAGTCAGATCTCGTCCTGCCTAATAACAGGTGGGGCGGCAGAGTGGGAGCCTATCTCAGAAGCTTAGGCAAAGAGGCAGCTCTTGCACCCGGCTTCACTCCAGCGCATGTGAGGCTGCTGCTCACTGTGCTGTAACCCTGGATGCTTCTGAGTGCGCGGGGGTGGGGGGGGGGGGGTGGGGGGGGGGTGGGGGGTTGGAGATGTGAGCAGTGCTGACGAGCTGCTGTGCTGTTCACAGATTATGTGCATTTTCATTGTCATAATGATGTTAATGGTTCTGAGGCAGTCACTGTGCCTAGGGGATTAACAATTGGCCAGCAGAAGAAAGGATTGATTTTGTTTAATGTCTGGCTGGTATTCCAGACTGTGTAGCCTGAGGGAAAGGCAGGCTGTGACTTTATTTTGATTTGGGGGTTGGGGGCGGGAATCAGGGGCTTGTCTATCATCTGATGTTAATAAGAGACTCAAGTTCCCACATCTCTTGCCTAGTCAGCTGGTTCTTTCCACTGCATGGGCACAGTGTGTGCAGGTGGGTCTTCTTAGTCATCCAGTTCCTGATGCTTTTACCTCTGCCTTCAAGCACAGATATACATAAACACACCGGTGGAGCTGCAGATTCAATTTCCCCTCTTATTTTGTCCAAACAGGTTGGTGGAAGAGATTTCTTTGAATTAAAGCTGCAGTTGAGCCTTACAAAGGATACTTAATTATCCAAATTCAGATTCTACTATGGCCCTTCTTGGCAAAGAAGTGCCTTGTAGGAGAGCATTCACTGTGAGATTGTTTAAATTAACTTTAATAACGCTCCATTTGACCTAGCTGCTCACATTCAGTGTATCCAGTTTTGAGCACATAGGAAAAAAATGGAAGCAACCAGAGTGGCAAGGGACGAGAAGTCTTAGGAAAAGAGGGGAAAGGGTTGGAAAGGAGATCAGGCACTGTTCCTTTGTAAACGATCTCAGCATTTCTCTGGGTCTATCAACCAAACCGCTGGGAACTTTTGACAGGCACAAAGCGTCATTTTGAATTCTAGCCCACAGTGACAGAGAGCTAGCCAGCACCCTCCTGCCTGCCTGCCAGCTAAAGGTATTTTGTTAGGGCTGACAAGTTTTGGGTGATGTTATCCATAACAAAAGGTGCTGTCTGCTTGGGTCTGTAAAAGATTGATTGCATCTGCCTGATTTCCCCATGGGCTGTGGCGGGCTCTTCCTCGTGTACTTCAGTCTGGTGCAACTTCATTCTCTGTGCCCTCCCCAGTTGGCCCCACCTTCTCACCTGCCTTTCTGCCGTCATTTCTGCTGCAACTTGGGCCTTTGTGAAGTTTCTGTTTTTGAGAGTCTCTTAATGGTGCTCACAGGCTGTCTTCAGGCTCCACAGGCTGTGTGCCCAGGCTGGCTTTGACCTACTGGTCCTCTTGACTCTACTGCATGACTGCTTGGATTACAGGTGTGCATCACCACACCCAATTTAAGCCTTTTTTCCCCCCTTCTGGGTCACAGCTTTATCTTTTTAAAGATTTATTTTACATGTATGAGCATTTTGTCGGCATGTATTTATGGTGCCAGATTAGAAGAGAGTATCAGGGTCCCGTAGAACTGGAGTTCTGATGGTTATGAACCACCATGTGGGTGCTGGGAACCAGACCCGAGTCCTCTACAGGAGCAGCAAGAGACATAATCTCTAATCCGGCTTGTTTTTGTTGGTTTGTTTGCTACTGTTACTTTCTTTTTCCAGATGAAAGCCCGCCCCTCCCAGACTAGGTATCAACAGCTCCTCACCTCTGTGTCCACAGACTTTTTTAACCCCTTAACTTTGTTTTGACAGTGTCTCTGGTATCAGAGGCTGGTCTTGAGATTTATTATGTCCGGCCTCTATCTCCCTAATGGTGGATTTAATTACAGGCTGAGTTCTGTGTCTTGCTGGTCT